AAAAGTATGCCATGCAATCCATTACATGAACCAAAATACTTAACCAGTAGTCACTGGAAACATGTGTTAAGAAAGTGGCAAACCTCACAGATTAATCAATGATCGGTTGGCAGCTATTTACCCAAAAAGAAATTGAGCTTGTATTTAATCCCCTTCAAAAAGGTATAAACAGAAAAAAAGTGGAAAACACAGTGGGGGAAAAGTATGCAATGTCCAGCTTCCCAACTTGTGGGCTTAGATTAAAACCCGTCCTAGAAATTTTCCCCTTTGCAATAAATATGCAAAAGTATGCAGTCTCTAAAAGCCACATTACAGAGAAGAACAAAACAGCTCCCCCTCCATCCAATTACATGAATTATGATTAAAATTAGTTGGCTGCACATTGTTACAGTTTATATAATTGAGTCCACACCTGAATATACTAACCATTTTTCTTTTCTTATACCAAACATACAAGCCTATGTGCAGGTGCACAAACATACATAGACCCGTCTCCTTCCAACAAGAATTACAAGCAGACGTGGAAACATATAGAATGAGGGTATGGCTACTTGCCCTGAATATTTTGCTCAGAAAAATGGAGGGGAACTATAATTTTACAAAAATGCAAAGATTGTTTTCTTCTCGGTTTCCCACTCAGAGGATCTTCATAGACATAGAATTCCCATATTTTGTAAAATGAGAGCAAATACTGTCAGGTTTCAAACATGAATAAGGTGGACAATGTCATTGTATTAACCTCAAGTTCTCATCTCAAGCCACAAGTTCTCTTCCCTTTGTGTGTGTGTGTGTGTGCGTGCGCGTATGTATGTGTATACACACACACACACACACACACACAGAGTATATATGCACTTCAGTTCTTCAGAAGCTTCTTGGATGAGAAGCAAAATATATGTGTTTGTGTTTGTGTGTGTGTGTAATCATACTGTATATATACTGTTTGTGTGTGTNTAATACTTATGAGGAAGTTGGGGAGAAAAGTTCACTCCAGCTAAAAGTCAACTTTGGGACTCCAGGGCACTAGAATGAAAAGCCAAACTAAAATGAATTTATAAGGTCCATTCTATTAAGACCACCCAACCTGGCCAGCCACTGGTGGGTGCATGCTGCATCAACAGTTTGTTTAGTAACCATTCAAAGTTACTGGGGAAAAAGTGACTTATGACTGTTTTTCGCAGTTATGACCTTTGCAGATTACGTGATCAAAATTCAGATGCTTGGCAACTGATTCATATTGATGACCAAGTGTCCCAAGAACCTGTGATGACCTTTTGTGACCTTCTGATGAGTAAAGCCAATGGGGAAGCCAGATTCACTTAATCACTGGGTTACTTATTAATCTGCTGCAGTGATTCACTTAACAGCGGTGGTAAGAAAGGTCATATAATGGGACAAAACTCACTTAACAAGTGCCTTACTGAACAACAGAAATTTGGGGCTCCGTTGTGCTTACAAATTGGGGACTACCTGCATTATAAACAAGGAACCAAATACTGTAGAATGAAGGGTTAAATAGTAACAAATCTGAAATTTTGCGCACAAGAAATCCCTCTTGGTAGCCTTTGTTATGGTGTTATATGCTCTGAGAGTGTTTCGAGTTACAGAATTTTATAGAATGACAATTCATTTTTCTGATTATTTCAAGTATCAAAAGTTTATGCGTGCAGAGGCTGGCTAGAAGGAAAATTGGCAACGCGCGGTCAAATCTTAGCTCCCAACATGGAGGCGGTGGTTGAGATAGTTAAGAAGAATAGATGGGATCAGCAGACAGAGACACAGAGTTCCTTGTGTTTCACATGCTGTTAGAGTGTGAAATAAAGTATTTCTACTTGGTCCTGAATTTGCTATCAATCTATTCGTAGGTTTAGCTCGCTTTCTAATATTATGAGAGAAACAGACAATCTATATCCACTTTGCACATCAGGATTGTAAGCATATGTGGAGTATGGATTTTTGCTAGGCATATTCTCAAATAATGCGAAAGAGTGCTCTAAAGCTATTTTTCCCTTAACATCTCCTCCCCCTTTTCGTAGCTTAGCTTTTTGTAGGGTTGATGGAAGGGACTAATATTCTGGATGAGGCATGGGCCTGATGGGCACTTGCCCCTGGCACCCACCCATACAAATCTGTGTTTGTTAACCAGTGGTGGGTTGCTAATCCCATTCCAACTGGTTCGGTTGGAACGGGGCCGGCGGTGTCCTCAAGCACGCGCACAGTTCACGCATGCATCTTAGCGCCTGCGCGATGCTCCAGCTGCTCGTGGAGAATTGCGCAGGTGCTGTATGTGCCATCCAGCTGCTCACGTAGAATCGTGCAGGCGCTGTATGTGCCATGCACCTGCATGGAAGTGCAGAAGCCTTCAAAGACCGGTAAAGAGCGCGGGTGGGTGGGTCCTTCGCTGTTCTCGGAAGTTACTTACTTCCGGGTTCGCCGACCAACCGGTTCGCGGGAACCACCGTGAACCGGTTGAAACCCACCCCTGAAGTTAACCCTTCAATGCACCTTGTATCATATCAATACAGCAAGCTATTTATTACATTTTACTGCATTTTTAAAATTAATACTAGCATGCAAAATATATGTTTAATTTTATCAACCATTTACATTTTTATTCCTCTGAGTAGTTGTCATACGGGCCCCAGTACCCCACTTTGCCTGGGGCCCGTATTGCTGTTAAAGATGGCCCTGAAGTTAGAGCACCCAGGTGTAAGCAAACTCCCCCCCCCGGGGATGGTTTATCTCTTTCCTCTAAAAGGAAAATGGCTCCTGGGGGCTGCAGGAAGCATAGCTGATGATGCAGTGAGTTAGATGAAGTGGCAAGGCTGAACTTTTCACCTTTTTTTTTTTTTTGGTCTGGGGAATGAAATTTGGGGTATCCATCTCAACTAGACGGATTATAGTTTAATGCATCTATTCTCATTCTTCTCACTGTATGGCAAAAGATGCTGAAATTGGTGTTTAGTTGCTACGATTCAACACTGTAATATTAGAGGGGTGCCAGAGGTTGCAAAAATGGAGCTGGGGACTGACATGGAGTTGTGAGCTGCATATCCAGCCGTGTATTCTCAGCCTTATAGTCAGTGCCGTTGTTTTGCTTCAAAGAATACAGTCACAATTTCCAGAGAAATGTTTTGAAGTCTGCATCCGGCCTTGGTCATCAGAATGGCCTGTAGCAGACCATCCACTATTTATTAAGATTTATATCAATTCTTGATCACAGTCTTCTTCTTTATTCCAGCCTCAGGAACTTATTCTAGGCCTCAGTCTATTTCTTTTTTTTTCCTTGATCTCTCCAGCGCTTTAAAGTAAGTGGCGAGATCCATTCCTTTCCAGAAAGGCAGAGGGACGTTCCCTGTGGCACTATTCAGTGGTCCAAACAAGCAGTCTAGCTTCATCCATTCCATTTAGGTCTGCCCGAAGGTAGAACTTTTGATCTGCAGTACAGAATGCTGTACGACTACTACTAGGGTGCGCTAAAGAAAGGATCAGTTCCTGGTATATAGCTCATTCCTCTTTTATTTTTGATGCCTAGGTTTTGCTGGTTTGGGTAGTATTTCCAAAACTTGGACAATGTGATCTGAATAGGAATACTAGTGAAACTGAAAAGCGCCTGACAAAGTTTTCCCAGAGAATCAATCTGTGTGGGAATCTTCTCTTTCAGAATTCCTAGACAGCACTGGTTGCAATGCTGTGTATTGAGATCAGTGGTGGGATTCAGTATTTTTTACTACTGGTTCTGTGGGTGTGGTGTGGTTTGGTGGGTGTGACTTGGTGGGCGTGGCAGGCGTGGCAGGGGAAGGTTACTGCAAAATCCCCATTTCCTCCCGATCCACTGGGACTCGGGAGTCAAAGAATAGATGGGAGCAGGGCCAGTCAGAGGTGCTGTTTACCGGTTCTCCGAACTACTAAAAATTTGCGCTCCTGGTTCTCCTGGTCAGAATCTGCTGAATACCACCTCTGGTTGAGATGCCAACATAGCGATAGCATTAGCACTTAGACCTTTACAGGTAGTCCTTGAGTTACGATGACAATTGAGCCCAAAATTATGTTGCTAAGTGAAACATTTGTTAAGTGAGTTTGCCCCATCTTAACAACTTTTCTTGCCACTGTTGTTAAGTGAATCATTCCATTTGTTAAGTTAGTAACACGGTTGTTAAGTGAATCCGGATTCCCCGTTGACTTTGCCTGTCAGAAGATCGCAAATGCTGATCACGTGACACTCCAAGGACACTCCAACCATCATAAATACAAACCANTACATCCTCAAACCCCCACAGCTTCAACCTTAAACTGTCTGCCATGAACCTCACCCCATTCCTAAGAGGACCATAAAGGGGGACATGCATAAGTGTACCAGCGTGCCTACCATCCCTGTCCTAAAGTACCAATTTATTTGTACTCCTTTCCTTTATTTATATCTATGTTTATACTTATACCTGTTATCTTGTTCAAGTTTGACAAACTAAATCAATCAATTAGTCAGTCAAATCTGACCTGACAGGTTGGCCTGACAACTAGTTTATTGCTCTTAAGCAATATTGCTCTTCCCAGATCATTTAATAGATTTAATAACTTAACAGAGTTGGAAAGGACCTTGTAGGTCATCTAATCCAACCCACACCCGCCCAAGCATTTACATCAATGATTCTCAACCTTGGCGACTTTAAGTCTTGTGGACTTCAACTCCCAGAATTCCCCATCCAGCTGTGCTGGCTGGGGGATTCTGGAAGTTGAAGTCCACAGGACTTAAAGTCGCCAAAGTTGAGAAACACTGATTTACATGGTCCTTAACATTCAAATTGACCGCCTTTGCCAATCCTGCTGATACTCTTGTACTAATGCTGGCAGGATTCGGTTTGCTTCAACTGTGTGAAGAAGAATGGCAAACCAGATCACGAGGATTCTACAATGCTAGCTTAGATCAAATAATGGATCCCTTATAAATATTGCAGAGACTCTTGGCCCAATGTAAATGTAATTGCTGACCAGAAACATACCTCACTTCAGGAACAAAGAAGGTCTTCCTGGCCAGGATATAAAGACCACCTGCAACTCCAAATCCAGTGATGAGAATTAAGGAGAGCTAAAGAAAGAGAGAGAGAGAGATGAAAAAGATAAAATGAATATTTATCAGGGGGATTGGGGAATGAAAGGGAGCTCTTGACACATCAGGAGATTTACAGCGAAAATATGGCACAGCAATCGTGTAGCCCAGTTCTTGTACATAGTGTAGCTGTCAGTTTGAGTGACTGGATTAAAAGAGGGGAGGGGAAATAGCCATGTCTTGGTGAGAGAAATTGCTCTGTGCTGGTGGTATCTTGAAGGAGAGAAGGGAGAAGGACTTTTCAGCCAGGGGGACTAAAGAGACAAGTCTATGGATGGTCAAATAGTTCCTCTGTCTGCTGAAAATTGTTACTGGGATATTTTATTTAATCATGGACGATGCCATTTACTTTATCAGCGAGGATGTAATCTCAGACTGATTTTCACTATCTACTAACCTGCCCTTGACTCCGCTTGTTCAATTTCCAATCTCTTCTACCTCTTTAACCTTTCCAAGCCTCTCACTTATCGTCCCCTGAGTATCCTTTCTTTCTAAACCAGCTTTCACCCAAATTGTTCTTCCCAAATCAATGGAACACAGTGGCGATTCAATGGATGTACCGTATATGACTAAAACAGGAATGTCTATAGAGATATCTATAGAGATATCTCTTGCCTTAAAATCTCACCCATTGTCGAGTTACTTCTACATCTACAAAGCACACAAGGTAGACCTGACCCAGAAGGTAGACCAGAGCAGAAATCAACTCCACAGGAAGACCAAAACCGCTTTCATTGAGTCTGCAATAATAGGATCTGCCAGGTCTGATTCTGCTCTACAACTTCCTCTTCTTATAGCTAATGAACTGGGGAGTCCTTCACCCAACCCACTTCCAAATGTTATCTTATTCTAGCCTTTAAAAAATGCTTCAACCCCTAGACAATGACTTCTGCGTACATTCATCAAGGCAATCTTCTTTACTCCCTACCCTATCTAAGTTTGATTTTTCAGAAGTGTAAAAAAAAAAAAAGTTATTTTGTACAGCTCCCAATGTATGAAATTCCTTCAGAATTCTGTCCATTCTCCTAGCGATCTCTGTGTTGGATCTGTCTGCATTGATTGGTGATTTTGAAAGTTCTAGTCCAGTGGTGGGATTCAAATTTTTTTACTACCTGTTCTGTGGATGTGGCATGGCTTGGTAGGCGTGGCTTGGTGGGCATGGCAAGGGAAGGACACTGTAAAAATCCCCATTCCCTCCCGATCAGCTGGGACTCAGGAGGCAGAGAATAGATGGGAGTGGGGCCAGTCAGAGGTGGTATTTACTGGTTCTCCAAACTACTCAAAATTTCCGCTACCTCCAGAACTGCTCAGAACCTGCTGAATACCACCTCTGTTCTAATCCCAATACTTTCAAAACACCAAGGTTAAGGAGATGAATTAAACTGAAATTCTGCTTGTTCTTGAAACTATTAATCAACTGTTGCTGCTTCTTAGTATTTAAATTGTTTTATTTAGGGATTCCCTTTTTAAAAAAAATTAAGTCAATTTGCAGGATANGCGGCAAGCCACTCCCACAAGGGAGGCCACACCCACAGAGTAGGTTCGAACAATTTTTGAAACCCACCACTGGATGATATCTTAGACAATGTCATCAATGGAGTCCTTGGTGCTCTCTGAGCTCGTCCCCCCCCAGATGTTTCATAACCCAACTAGGTAACATCATCAGTACTAGAAGGGAGTGGGGTTTGCTTTGGTTTAGATACAAGTGGCTTGCCCTGTCAGTGTTGGTGGGAGTGTTCTTGGTGGTTCCTTGAATAGGCTGCTGTTTACTGCTAGCTTGTTTGTCTGGGTTAGTAGTTTGTGAATTGGGGTATTGTCATCAGGTTGGGCGGTAGTGGTGAAAGCAGCAGCACAGGGCATTACCATTGCTGATAATGGAGAAACTGTGCCATTGTATTGAATCAGAATCAGAATTGAGTTGGAAGGGACCTTGGAGGTCTTCTAGTCCAGCCCCCTGCTCAGGTAGGAAACCCTATATATGTGATGGCGAACCTATGGCATGCGTGCCACAGGGGGCATGCAGAGCCATTTGTCAGGGCACGTGAGGCATTGCCCTGTCAAATAGCCAGTGCGTATGTGCGTGCTGGACAGCTGACTTCAGCCTTGTTTTGAGACCATTTTCCGTTCCCGGGAGGCTTCCTTGAAGCCTCTGGAATGCGAAAAACTGGCCCTATGGGCAAACCGGAAATTCAGGAACGTATTTCTGGTTTGCTCGTAGGGCCGATTTTAGCCCTCCGGAGCCTTCAAGGAAGCCGAGATTTTTCCTAACCCTTCTCACTTCCATTATTATATGTGCCAGAAGTTACAATGGCAGCCATTAGGATGATGATCAAAGACAAATCATGGATGAGAAAAAGAAACTGTGTCTGTAACTAGCCACAGTCACTAGTTATCAGCCCCACCACAACCCTGGAGTAGGTGGACAGTGGTGTAGCTTGGAGTAAGGCAGTTACTCTTATCCTATTAAGAGAATGGGGACATAGTTGTGAAACGATCCAAGCAATGATGGATACAAAGGATGGAAGGTAAACTATAACTCTGACTTCCATCTAGATGAGTCTAGAAGGTGAGACTTTTCTCTCCCTTGCTAGATACAATGTTGGAAGCCCTCAAAATCAACAGCCACCAAATTATATAGCAGCCCCTCTTTTCTAGCTTCATTTTATCGAGATGGCTATTTTCTACTCTATTTCTTTTCCGCCAGCAGAATTCTGAGGTTGTAATTTGGTGGGATTTTAAATATATTTGGGGACTTGGCTTGGTGGGGATTTGATGTGGAGTTGGCATTAATCGCAGGCTCAGGCAGTTGGGCACCCTAGGAAGTGCGACCACACAACAGCAGGAGAAGCTGTTGCAAGGTGAAAATGCTGATTTGCACGGATGGTGCAAAAACAGCTGATGATAGATAATGGATGGTGTGTCAGGAATCTCTTCAGCAGCCTACATTGCCCCATTTGCCTCAGTTAAAAAAGTAAGAAAGAAAGATGCTTTCAATTAACCATTTGTGTGATTTCCAAGCACCCCTCTTTTTCAGGACGAATCCCCTTATTTTCTGGCACCTTTTTCAGGTAAACATGACCCCTCCCAATTTTTTAGTTTCTTGGGGGCTGGGTAGGAATTCAACAATGCCTTTTTAAAACTTTGCTAGTGCTGTGCAGAATGGCAGAACTCACTAGCTTCTCGTCCGCAGTATTGCCAAAATTGACTGCATGTTAAACAGATGTTCTGTAATTAAACCATGGAATTTAAAAGATCTCAAGTGAGAACGTTTGGCATAAAATTACGTGGAAATTTGGGGTACCTTGGAGATAGGGATGGGCCTATCTGATGAAGTGAAATGTGTATGGATCATTTTTGGCTGTGAAAGAAATAGTAGTCATTTCTCGCCCCCTCCCCCCCATTAGCCTCTTTTCCATTTTTTGTTCTTGACCTGTCCTCAGATACCAGTACCTGCTACTCATTCCAAAATGCTGCATGCAAAATTTTGCTCTAGGGTATTCTAGAGACAACATTTGGGCATAACTTAGTAATATAAAGCACCATCCCCTGAATCTTCTGAAGCTCTTTTGCTTACTGAATCCAGAATGGTGCAAACAATGTCCCAAATGACAAATAAAAGCATTCTGAGTTTCACTCAATCTTGTTGGACTAAATGGTTGAAGAGATGGGGGGTTATGTTTGTTTGTTTTTTACAATTAATACAATAGGCTCAGGAATCAATGCAAAATTGGTTACTAGTTGCTGTGTGTGGATTTTCAATGGCTATTTCATAAAGAATACATTGCAATTACTTATTTTTAAAGCTACTGGCACATGGATAACCAAATTTCTCAAATATCTGTTATCTGGAATCCAAACTCAGCTTGTCTTCCTATGAATCTTCTAGAGTAGGGGGTCCCTGACCTCTGGGGCATGGACCAGTACCACTCCATGACCTGTTAGGAACTGGGCCGCATAATTGACAGGTGAGTCCCTTGTGTGGCCCAGCAAAGCTTTACCTGGCTATGCACAAGATGTACGTAGGTTGTGCATGAAACCATCCACTCCCAATCCTTGGAAGACAATTTTTCTTCCAACACCAGTCCTTGGTGCCAAAAAGGTTGGGGACTGTTGTTCTAAAGCACATTGCTTCCATCCCAACCCTTCTGCCATGCTGTTGAAATATATCTGCGTTTTGAACAACAGATCAAAGCTCTGGTAGCCCCTGAAAGGCTCTGAATCAATTTAGCCAAGATGTCCCTAGGCAATAGAGCAGCTGGTATACAAACAGAACTTCTGCCTTTATCCTAACCTTTCAGAAAAAGCTCTATGCCCTTAAAGGCAAAATCCTGAAGAGGATGCTGAAAAAAAGCCATGAAACCCTTGGAAACAAGGATGGCTACCCCTTCTAGATCATTTGGTCTGCATTACTAACACCTATTTGGCTAACATTAGATAGGACCACAAGGTTCCTTGTCTCATCCTGCCTAGTCTTCACGATGTATTAACCTTTGAACCAGAAGATAATACATTGGCTTAAACAAGCAAGCAAAAAGACCCAGCTGGTATTCAGAAGGAGCAGTATCAAAGCTTGCCATTACTTAAACCATTTCCTTGAATTATATCTGTCAGGTGGGATGCCACATTATTTAAACATAAACATCGTTAGAAGAGACTGGACAGTTTCCTAGGCTGTAGCCATACTCTAGTGAACTCCAAAAAAGAAAACAGTAAGGCTATGGATCCTAGAGCAAGAGGTGCAAATGATTAAATGGGAGAGGAATGTCACTGGGGAAAGAGAGAGGAAGGATAGGGCACTGAGAGGGGCAAACTCTATCCAAGGTCCTGAAAATAATATAAAGTTGCAACCAAAGCAAATGTTTTAGTACACATCTACCCTCCATTAAAACCCCCAATTTATTGTAATTGGCCCCTCCCTCTTTCCCTCCTTCCCTCCCTCCTTCCCTTCCAGCCATTCCAAGGAGCTCCTACATCACCTTATTATTTTTCATCTGTTATGCTAATGTTGGGCCAAATTAAAGAGGGAAAGCCATAGGGCCTTATTATTGTTGGGAAGCGTAACCAGTGGTTAGAGTGTAGTATTGCAGGCTACCTCTGCTGATTGCTGGCTGCCTGCAATTTGGCTCAAGGTTGACTCAGCCTTCCATTCTTCCGAGGTCGGTAAAATGAGGACCCAGATTATTGGGGGCAATTCGCTGACTCTGAAAACTGCTTACAGAACTGTAAAGCACTGTGAAGTGGTATATAAGTGTAAATGCTATTGCTATACTTCCTATTATTTCCATTCCCGCTGCTTTAAGCCCTGACAGTTGGCTAAGTCTTGAACAGGATGCCCAATGGTAGGGTGTCAGAAGCTCTTGCTTTTCTTCTGTTGATGTAGCAGATGACAAAACCGTGCCTCTTTGAAATTGTGCTCAGGGTGTTTTACACAAACACACAGAGACATTTTCTTAGTTACACACACAACTGCTTCTCATAAAGGGAAGAAGTCCTTCTTCAACAGAGAAAATTAATGTATCAGCGAGAACTTAAATTCTTCTCTCAACATGTTGGTCTTCTATATGCACAGGGTATTGAGAAAAAAATAGGCTGTTCTCTGCAGCAGTGACAGAATGGTCTTCCCAGTGCTGAATTCTGATATTGTAATTTAATTGCAATTTAATTTGTGGAAAAGGATAGTCTGTTTTGGAGGCAGGGGTTTCAAAGTCAAGGACCAATGTTTGAACAAAGATTTCTCCTCAGATAGGCTGAAGTAAAAAAAAAATCTATGATGGGGATGGGTGGGAAAGGACCCTTGAAGAAAAATCCGTTATTCGTGTATTCAATATCCACTTTGCAGGGAATGAAAAAAAAGCTGTTTGCGTTATGTGTTTGTGCATATTTGCATGTATTAAATAGGGCCATTTTCATTCTTTTTTCTTTAGCCCATGAGAAGAGAAATTGTATTTATATCAAGGCCTCAGAGGCATATATAATTTATTAGGGTTTATTCATTTTTATAAACAAAATCCCTGTCATGAATTTTTGATGGAAAAGGAGACAATCGTTTTGAGGGATGGAAAAATGGGGGGAGTGGGTTGTTCGTTTTCCATTCTGTCACTGAAATCCTGAAAATGAGATAGGGCTGTGGATCAGTTAGATGACAAAACATTGGGAACATATTAAAAAAAATCCTTAAAACCTTAAGCTGGTTTTTAAAGTGGAAAGGCTGGTGTGTGTGAGCGGGAGGCTAAAAACCTGCTGTGTGTTGATTTATTTCTGGAGTGTAGTAAAACCCCTTAGAGGCATCAGATATAACAAGGTAAATAACACATCAAATCTCCCCTCTTGCCAATCGTGTGTGCACGCCAGCTGCAGATGTCTAGGGTTAGGGAACAAAGTACACAGCATTAAATATACACAAGCTTTCCATCCAGGTGGAGGCAGGCAGCAAAGAGTTCTAAGATTTGGGCCATCAAATAAGAAAATAAATAAATAGTCTTTGGAAAGACACAGAGAAAATTAGCAGCTGTTCTGAATCCTTCTAAGTTATACTTAAGGGACAGGATGGATAGTACTGTCCTTTGAATCAACATGAAATCCAGTAACAAAAGGTGGTTAAAGATAAAGGTTCCCCTCACACATATGTGCTAGTCGTTCCTGACTCTAGGGGGCGGTGCTCATCCCCATTTCAAAGCCAAAGAGCCAGCACTGTCCGAAGATGTCTCCATGGTCATGTGGCCAGCATGACTAAATGCTGAAGGTGCACAAAATGCTGTTACCTTCCCATCAAACGTGGTTCCTTTTTTTCTACTTGCATTTTTACATGCTTTCGAACTGCTAGGTTGGCCAAAGCTGGGACAAGTAACAGGAGCTCACTCTGTTACGTGGCGCTAGGGATTTGAACCCCTGAACTGCTGACCTTTCTGATAGACAAGTTCAGTGTCTTAACTACTGAGCCACTTCCTCCCTTAAAGGAGGTTCTTTCTCACAAAATCCTAGAAAGGTGTCCAGTGGAAGGTTTTGGATACAGAAGCTAGGGATGCCAATGTTCTCACCCTTCTCTGTCTTTTTGCAGATCTGCCACTTGAAAGTCGGGAAAGGAAAAAGAGCCAAATATTACTTGCTGCCTTTTTTCCTTCCTGGTAGCACCTCTTGGAGCAATACATAGGCTATTCTTCCAGGGAGGTGTGTTAGACTGGGAAGTCAATTTCAGAAGATAACAAAGGCAGGCCACTTCCTCTTTATATTTATATTTTTATTTATATGGACCTGGACCAAGATTCGAGCAAAGAGTAGGAAGTTTGAGCAGGGAGAATTAGAATTTATGGCAAACTGCATGATGTTTGAGGCCAGAGGGCCATGGAGTCCTAAGCATTGGTTGCAGATCCCAAAGATCCTTAAAATAGCTTTGTAGCTTTGAACGTGTCTGAAGAGGAACAGTAGATACATACCCAATAATCAATTTACTAAATACTTAATTGGCTTGGTTTAAGTTAGTTTTTGGCCTAAGGTGGTTAACTTTCTGAGCACTCCCCTCCAAATCATTGAATTAGCCACAATAGCTGGTTTCATATACTATACTATTACTGTGAAAAAGGAAACACACTGTGTTATGGCTCTAACAGCACAAAGGACATTAAATGAGAAAGACCACCATATTCAGCCTGCAAGTTCCCATTACACTAAATACATTTTCAGTCATCTGAGATTATTGGAGTTGTAGTCCAACAACATCTGGAGAACCTTAAGTTCCCCACCCCTGACCTTCTGCAAAGGAATTAGAAAATGTACAGTGTATTAGAAAAATATGTCAGAGGTCTAGATTTGGTTAAGGTGTTTCTATATGGCCAGCTTGCCTTTGTATAATTACTCCACAGAACTCATGTACTTTATTTCATGCCACCTCTCTGATTCTATACACTTTGTTCCACACAATTACCCACATCTATACTTTAGACACATGTGACACAAGCACATATTCTTTCTGTTTACCGTCTTTTTGAGAATGTTGATTTCAGATTCCTTGTGTGTCTAATTACACTTGGCCAATAAAGAAAATTCTATTCCATTCCATTCCTTATTATTAAATATATTTTGAAGGGAAAATGTGACTATTAATTTTCTCAGAATAATTTCTTGTTGCATTATCTTGAATGTAGGGAAAGTCAAGAAGGTTACATTTTAGCTTTAAGAGTTATTTCATGTTGCTTCTTTTGCACCAGTCACTCACACTCACATTCAATCTGCTACTATTCATCACCCATTCATTTTTGGTCCCATTTCCCCTTGTTGCATAACACATGCAAGTCTTAAATATCTCATTCCCACTAGATTCAACTTCTGTGCTTTACCTGACACACCAAGCTTTCACTTCTATATAATAAAATGGGCAGAACTGCATTCATATACATGCTAATTTTAACATCCACGACAAAAACATTATGTTGTCATAAGGTTTGTGATCTGGCAAACAAACAAACAAACAAACAAACAAATAATAAATAAATAAAATAATGGCTGTTATTTATATGTTCTCTATCATAATATCATTTATATGTATAGTCTAATTGTCAAAATCATGTGTGAGAATATCTCTGTAATGTTCCCACCAAGAAAAATTTGGATAGGCACGAAATGGAACTATCCTGCCTTCAGATTCTTTTTAAGGATGAAAATATTAATTACAATATTAAAAAAGATAAAGGTCCCTCGCACATATGTGCTAGTCGTTCTCGACTCTAGGGGGCAGTACTCATCACCACTTCAAAGCTGAAGAGCCAGCGCTGTTCAAAGACGTTTCCATGGTCCTGTGGCCAACATGACTAAATGCTGAAGGTGTACGGAACGCTGTTACCTTCCACCAAAGGTGGTTCCTATTTTTCTAACTTGCACTTTTGTATGCTTTCGAACTGGCAGAAGCTGGGACAAATAACAGGAACTCACACCTTTATGCAGCACTAGGGATTTGAATCGCCAAACTGCTGACCCTTCTGATCAACAAGCTCAGCGTCTTAACCACTGAGCCCCCACGTCCCTTATTACAATATTATAAAGCAATAATAAAAAGCCATGTCATTTCCTAACATGGATTCAGTGCTCCCAGAAAAAGTGATTAATTGTGCTCCTGATTGTAAGACATTGTGGAACAATTCCGCTTTTGCCTTATTATGAACTTTTTTTTAAAAAAAAGAGCAAGCAAAGACAAAACACATCAAAAATGACAGAAAAAAAATAGAAGAGAATGTTTTTATATAGGGTTATTTAAAAGTAATAACTAGGGAAGGAATATTATGATTGTGATGTATTATTTAGCTTTATAATTCCATTTTTGCTCCTATTACATGGGGGAAAAGTATTAGAGTTTTTAAGACTCTTTAACTTTCCTATGAACGGGGCTCCTTCCTTTGAAAAGAGAAGCAGTGAAGCCGATGAAGCACACCCAGGATCGAGATACTGAACCAAAGAATTTGACAGCTCACCTGAACTTGTGTGAATTGAGGAGGATGGAAATGTGGGTGGGAATTCCACCCATCTGCGTGTTAAAATGGGTGAAATTTCACCGCTTTTCTTCCTCTTGGGGCACCTATACATCCTTCTCCTCAACTGGGTCCTTTCCCTCCCCTCTCCCATTCTCCCAGAAGAAAGAACCACCTGTTAAACTTCATGCCTGCAACAAGTCACTGGAAGGGAGAAGGAAGGGAAGGCTTTGATGGGGCAGGAGAAAAGGATTAAGAATCTAGGGATTAGGAGCGAAGAATGGGATTCAGGGACTCTTCTAGTTACAGGGCGAAGGACTCCAGGGCCGCACAAGGGAGATAAGAGAGAGAAAGGAAGGACTCACTGTTGGAAACCGCGTGAGTTGCCTCATTCGAAAGGACATGTTCCTCAAAGGTGCGCTCCTCCTTCTTAGGGCCGCGCTGCGAGGCTTTGGGGAGTCCCCTCGGCTCGACGGCTTTGGCTTTTGAGGCTGCCACAGTTGGTCCCGCCGGCCCAGCGCATCCCAGACGCGCCTGCCCCCGCCTCCAGGACGGGAAGGAGGGGTGGGTCCCCCTGTAACTCCTCCGCCTTTTTTAGGGTGGTGGTGGAGGAAGGGAGGTTGGTGGGACGCGAACGAGCGAAAGAGACGGGGGAGTCGTAGAGTCGGGGCTCGCGTCCCGAGTAAACGCGAAGAGAAGTTTTTAAAAGTCACACGGACTAGGAGAAAAGTAGTCGCGGATTTGAGCTTGTGCGCGGGAATAGGGGTCCCGGGTCTATTTGGGGTGGGGTGGGGTCTTTGTAGGATTCCAGGAGAGGGGAGGCGAGTGGGGTGGGGGGTTCCCGTTATTTTGAGCCAAAGCCAAGGTTTGAATCCTTCAGTCGAGCGTTTGAGGACGAATTGTAGAGCTCATCCCTTGGACTTCATTGATCGTACCCCGCTTCCCCACCTCTCCCTTCCTGCTCCATGATCTGCAGAAGCCAAAACTGGGACCGTGGCTTGCTTGGCTGCCGATGGTTCAGATGTGCCGAGGAAGGTCAGGACGGGGCTGGGAATCTCCTTGTTTTCAAGGGAAAGGAGGGCATATTATTGTCCCTGAAGAGGAAGGCCAGTTAAGAAGGAAGGAGGATAATGCTATGTGAGACTCGAGGCTCTCAGATGCTTCTTTGTGGGTCAGTGTTTTTGCCCCGTTGACTCTGAAGAGAGGAAATGAAGAGAGCTGACAAAATGGCTCTGGAGATACTAGCACAGTGTTTCTCAACCTTGGCCACTTGAAGATGTCTGGACTTCAACTCCCAGAATTCCCCAGCCAGCGAATGCTGGCTGGGGAATTCTGGGAGTTGAAGT